TTTCTTTCTTTCTTTCTTTCTTTCTTTCTTTCTTTCTTTCTTTCTTTCTTTCTTTTGGGTTGGGGGTGTTTTTGTTTGTTGCTTTTTACTAAGCCAGTTTGCTGGATTTATTTCAAACCAGTCACAAGGCGTTTTGCGAGTTTCAAATAGGTGGAAGGACAGCGCAATGGGTGAAAACGTCTGTGGTCGTCAATTGATGTAAAATGTTAGTTTTAGGCACGGTTAGTGGTATATAATTCCACGGGGAATCATGGGGAAGGGTTAAGCTACTTCGGGGAATTAAACAAGAGTTGTGTCGATTTTCTGTCAAGATAGGACAGAGTCCTGACACTGTTCTGTTGATGTTTGTGTGGACAGGTGTTGTTACTTTTGTTGTTGGAGAAGTATCTTTCTTATTTTTTAATGTTCATTTTGATGTTATGGTTGCTGTCGTTGTTGTTGTTGTTGTTGGTGGTGTAGTTTTTCTTGTTGGTTTTCTTGTTCTTGTTCTTGTTCTTGTTCTTGTTCTTGTTCTTGTTCTTGTTCTTGTTCTTGTGGTAACGGGTGGTGTTGCTACTATCTATACTGTTGTTGTTGTTCTTGTCGATTATGCTATATGATGTTACACGCCTCTTTCCCCTCTGTTCCTGTGAGAAGATACACGCCCGGCCCGTGTTGTGAGCACCAACAGTCACTGGACACAAAGGGTGAAGAAACTCATTCTATCTTATTGCGCACTGGGAGCACCTTTCTGTTTGTGATCGTTTTATTGTTTTAGTAAGGCTTTACGGCGCTCGCAACTGCATAAGGTCATATGAGCGCTAAGGGGTGGATGTCAACAGAGAAGTCAAAACGGGGAATCAGGCTTACTCTGCTCACCTCTCTAGCCTCAACAGTACAAAGTCTGCTTCGACTATCAATGCACTCCGGAAATAGCAGTTCACAAGAGAGTGACAAACATACAACAGAAGTAGAGGAAAAATGACGATAGTAAGGATGAGGAAAGAAAAAGCAGCAGTTTCCCCTATGTTGTTTCAGCACAGTATGAGCATGACAATGATAAATCAGCCCATTTACAACTCTACTGTGCATAAGAACGTGTTAATACCCCCCCCCCTTTTTTTTTGGGGGGGGGGGGAATGACCTAAAGACACTTCAGTCAGTAGCACTGCCCGGGGGCAGTTTGTGATCGTCAGTCGTGAAATACATGGAGAACGGTTACGAAATGTAACGAAATGTTACGAAATGTAACGAAATGTTACGAAATGTTACGAAATGTTACGAAATGTAACGAAATGTTACGAAATGATGTGATACATATTTTTTTGTGTAAAGGTAGGAAAAAAATGTAGTTACAATTCTAGAAAAAAAAGCGTTCCTGTTTCATCTAAATAGTCGAATCTGTTCTAACGACCACCTGTACAAATGACCATTTCCCCATTTGCATTTTGTTCTTTATTATGATATTGTCTAAATTACTACATTTCTCCTCCACGATGGATGCTTGTCTTGACGGTTCGACTGTAACTCGCAAGCACAGATATATATATATATATATATAAAACACCTCAAGAGTTGTTAACATCACACAAATTCCGAGAACAGTTACCTTTGTGAAACCACGGGAAAAGTGAGTCACTTTTATTTCTCTGAAAAAAAAGTAAGCTTTTCGTTACCGGGAATTTTTGTAGCAGCGGAAAGCAATGATAATATGAAAAACCCACACTCGTTGACCACAGCGTCATGTAGGATCGAAAGATTATTCGAGAGGATCCAAAATAAAAATGTCTTTTAATAAATACCCGAAGAAGAATAACGTCTTACTTTCGATTTCGAAATTTTAAAAAAAGGCAAAGAACTTATCATTGTTTGACCACGTTACCCTCAAGAGATCGAATCAAAATTCGAGAAAGTCTAAACGTGTATCTCACAAAGATCGTGCATAACAAGGGTGTTCATTGAGCCATAAAAGTGTCTGCGGAAGTTCGCGCATTGCTTCAGATGGCGCTGCAGTCTTTGTTTTGAGGCTCTTTTTCGTTTCTCCAGAAGAAGAATAGGAATAGCAGAGTTTGTTAGTTCCACTTTTATTGTTTTCACGCAAGTAGGGTAACTCTGTTCGCAAAGTCCGCACTTTAACGAAGAGGGCGCCACCAAATTTTGAGGACATTTTTAATTGGCTCAAACAGAGGAGTGAACTATCTTGTCATACACGATCTTTGTCTCTCATTAAAAACGCGATACCGAATATCACTGCACGTCCGATTTCCACAAACAAATGAGGACAGTGTGCACACCCAATAAGAACCCCGCTCCAGTTCCCCTGCCCCCCCCCCCCTTCAGGATCCACCCCAGAAAGGTGCCATAGACTCATCAAGGGAGAGAAAAAATAATTGAACTAACATGAGACAGAGGCAGATAAACGCTGCTTAAAAAGAGACTCACCTTGAAAGCTCCTGAGTTTGATTTTAGTAAGTGTTTTATGGCACTTGCAACATAAGTAAGTCATATAAGTGCGGAAGATTAGAAGTGTTACTACTAGAGAGTAACAAACAAAGAAGAGAAGGGGAAGAGATAAGGATGATAGATGTTTGATAGGAAAGAAAGAGCAAATCACACCAGCGCACCCGCCAACCACCCACCTTGCTATCTCCGAGGTTGGCAATGTACAAAGTGTCGTTGATGCCAACCACCATTACTGCAGTTGTCCCATCCTTCCATGATGGTTTACTGGAGAAGAATACAATTTTAGAAATATAACTATTTTTATGTGAAGTACAATGCATATTTTGCATATTGTCAGCAAGCTGGTCCAATATGACTGTACAGCATGCTGTGGAGTGTGGTTATGCACTATATTAATACAATTATTTAAATTATGATCATTATTATTAAAGATTTTTAAGCTCAGAAAGCAAAATTTTTCGGGAGAGAGAAAAACATTTTTTGTAAAACATTACATTACTGGAAATTAAGCTGCACTACAACTAAGACTGCTGGCAGCAGATTAGAGGTATGGCAGACTTAGTGTTCAAAAATGTTTTTAAATTTTCAGGGGTGTTTGAGTCTGTTGGCAGCATTTTCTCTCTCACCTTTTCTCACTGTTTCACCCGTTTCTCTTTCTCCTTCTCTCCCCTATATGACAGGTGTTGTTAGTAACGTACAATCACCTTCTCCTTTTCACCTTCTCTCTCTCTCTCTCTCTCTCTCTCTCTCTCTCTCTCTCTCTCTCTCTCTCTCTCTTTATGACAAAAAAATGTTGGCAGCTTACAATCACCATATGAAAATTCATTTTCATATGTTTTGTAAATGACCATACACTCAGACTGAGACCCTGTCCATAGCAGCCATCTATCAATAGGAGTCACTTTTCTCTGCAATCTCGAGCGAGCAGTATGAACAAGTTTAACTATATTTTTTTGAGTACCGTACTCACTTTTTGGTTGCTTCCTTCAGAAAATCCTCATCCGTTTTCTTGAAGGCATCTCTCAGCACTTTCTTGATTTCCTTCTCCACTTGAGTCACATCACCTGAAAAACAATCGTAAAGAGGCTTGTGATAATTACATTAAAGGTCACTTATGCAGATGTCTTCCTGATCAATGAGATGGTTTTCGCTCTTGCAAAAAAAAAGTAATACATTGTAACATTGTAGGAAGGCAAAGAACTATGTGAAATCAGCGTAAGACCTTGGCTAGAAAAAAAACATGCGTTTCATAAGAAATTGCATAAGCTCAACAGAACAATACAGTTCTCTTTACTCTCCTAAAAAAATGGAAGCCAGCTGTAGACAGTAGACTAGTGCAACTGCAATGCTATTGTGAAGCCTGGTATACAAACACAAAGAAAAACTCTTATTTTCTAAATTTCTAACACTCATCTTGAGACTTGAGGTAACAAACATATGTAAAAATCTAAACAAAACTACGGCCTATGAAACAGGTTCTAATGAACTACTCTTGGGGAACTTAACATTAAATTGTATTCTAAATTTCTAATGTTCATCTTGAGATGACCAAACATGTAAGGGTTAAACAAAAGTAGTACGGGCTATGAAATGGGTTCTAAGAATTACCCTTGGGGAATTTATCACGCAGATTATTGAGCAAATGCTGAGATGCGAACCTGGAAGCTCGAATCCCTCCGTGCCCATCAAATACAGCATACACACACAGGCGGTGGCTGGAACAGAAAATACAGTCAAAATTGTCAAATTAAGTGCCAAAGATTAGAGGTGTTACAAGAGAGAAACAAACATAAAAAAAGAAGGAGGAGAGATCAAGACGATAGATGTTTGATAGGAAAGAAGGAGCAAACCACACAAGAGCACCCGCCAGCCACCCATTGTCAAGGAGAAAAGTGGCCATCTGACACAGTGTCCTTAAGATATAAAAATTATGATGAAAGGGGGAAATGGGAATTGGCTGTTTGTACGTGTGATTGGTTTAGCAGAAGGCCATTTACACAGGTGTCTGTCTTATCATCATCATCCGGGGCCTTGCCGACTGCGTGGGCGATCATGGACCTTCACTTCACTATGTCTTATACAGGTGGCCGTTTTAGAGATTTATTGCATGTCACAAGAGTAATGCTGTCACAGTTACTTGTTCCACAATGTGCCGTCATTATTACATTTTGAACAATACATTGAACAATACATTTGCAAATCCACACTTTTTTCTATTCACAATACAGTATCTTCAGCCTCTGTTTTTCCAGAACAGACTGTTTTCTTCTTTTCCTGTCCATTTTTTAGTCTACATTTTTCTGAGGCTATCATATCATTTTTATACAACTATTAAGTTTCGTTGTTTTCATAACTAGAGAATTGATGCAACAAGAGAAACAAAAGTAATATATATATATATATGATACAAATACCAGAAGACGACGTAGGACGGTAGCAAGTAAAGCAAATATTGAGATAATTGTCTTTTTTTAGTATCTTTTAGAAAAAAAAATGAGTGACAAGTCCGTAGATGTTCATTTAAGAGGGACTATGAATTTGCTTTCATCCACAGGTGTCCAGGATACAAAAAAGTATGTACTAGAGAGAAACGCAAACTGCATTGGGTGGCACTAAAAAATAGTTTGTGTGTGTGTGTGCATGTGTGCGCGTGTGCATAAAAATATATATATAGCATGAGAAGAAAGGAAATAGTTAGAGAGGTTTTTTAAAATGGGTATTCCAATGTAAAGCGCATTGAGCAACTTTTTTTTAACACGCTATGACGCTATGTAAATGTTATATATTATTGTTATATTATTATTATTATTACTTACATGGAGCTATGAACGTCTGGCATGCTCTGCTTTAAGTCATCGATGATGACATGGGCATCCTGCATGTCCTCCCTCTCCCCCTGGCGATCGGCGACATAACCCTTCAGCCTGTACCCTGAAATTAAGCATAGTTTTAGTAAGAGTTTTGCAGCACTTACAACATAAATAGATGATACAAGTGTCAAAGATTAAGAGGTTACTAGAGAGTAAAATTAAAAAGAAAAGAAGGAGGGGAGATAAAGATGATAGATGTTTGAGGAAAGAAGGAACAAACCACGCCAGAGCAAGCACTGAAATACAGCAACAACGATACATTAATAGACCAACAACGAAAAGGCTACGGGTGGAAACAAATACAATGATCCCAGGAAATGCAAGCTTTGGTGACTATGGAGAAGTTACGACTGACACTTGATGCCATTATCAGCATTAGAGAGGCTAATACTAATACAGTAGTCTCCGCCTAAGATCCCGGTGCTCAGGAGCAAGGAAATGCGGGATCTTAGGCGAACTGGGATCTTAACCGACGAACCCAGTTAAGAATCTATGGAGACCCATGCTAAGGCTCACAATCAATAAAATGGTCTCCCTCCACTCTAAAATGAACTGACGTGACCGCTTGGTGGGTTTATGACGTATGGCGAGCAAAGAGTGTTTAGCCTTGATCACAGTGTATAGTGGGATGAGACGTGCCATTTTCACTTTATCTATCATGAGTCTCAAAATCTACGCTTATCCAGTTGCCTCTCCCCCTTACCTGTCGAAAATTTATAGTTTTCCATCTCTGACCGAGGCCCTCCCCCCCCTCTTCCAGTTTGTCTCGCAAATTCGGGAGTAGAGACAACTTCTGCAATGGTCAGGGAAGAGTTCACAGTTCAATGTGATCCCGCCTAGAGCGAACGTGTGGGCCCTACCCACCCAGCGAGTGATGTAAGTTTAGGGGGAGAACTCAAGTGTGAGTGCGATGTTCGGGGAAAACAAACGTGTCGGTCAGTTCACACCCCGGTGTGATCCCGTCTGGGCCAAACATTGTATCACTTAATCGAGTTTTACAATGTGTACGTGATCATATTCACAATAGTGGCTGATCTTTGACGCGACGGACAGTTTATTGATCTCAACTTTTCACTCTTGGTTGATCGGCTGTCCCCCCCCCCCAGATTTGTGTTCCGCAAATTAAGATCTGAAATGCGGGATCTTAGCCGAATGTAGACCTTCAGAGTGAATCAGAGCGGGATCTTAGGGGTGACTTTTGTATAGTAAAAATTATGTTTTCTTAAAACAGCGGGATCTTAAGCAAACCGGGATCGTAAGCGGTGGGATCTTACGTGGAGACTACTATATAAAATTTGGGAAGTGTTTGCCCATCTAACGAGCGACAATAGATCAACTTGACCCCACCGCGTCGTACAGTTGAGTATAAAGCAAGGCTGGCCTTTCGACAACCATTTCTCCCTAAATTCCACTTTCCAAGACGAAAAAAGATTAAAACAGAATTTTATTCTGGCTACCTAAACCTTGCAATTCCATCTTGAACCCGTTAAACAGTACTGTAGGCCTAGGCTATTACTATTATTTTTATTTCACTTACTGCACTTGGATTCTTTAGCCACGTCGAGCTTCTTATGGCTCCCACCATTTTCCTCAGTAGAAGTAGAAGTCGCATCCCAAGGCAGTTTACGTTTTTCTCCAACACATACTTCAGACACTGCCTCTTTGACATCTACATTGCTCTTTCTTGTATTGGTATCCTGACCACTATCCTGATCATCTGTGGCTGTGGACGAAAGGAATTTTATATTCAACATGATGTTACTAAACTTCTGCCGTGAGTCAAACAGTGGTTGAGCCGCTAAGCGTCAAGCTTTCACACTTTCAGTATATGACAAAAAAAACAACACTGAAGTTACCAATAGATCTAATCTACTCTGTTACCTTTTTTGCTTTGTTCAGGCTCGGGCAAATCACCGAACAGATCCATTGACTTTACAGCAAATCGGGAACTTGTTGAGACAGTTGAGAGCAGTCGTTAACCGGACGCACGGCATAAAATAATACGGCAGATGGATGGCTCGTGTATAGAGTCTCAAGTCTCCAGTTTGAAGTTGGCCTAGCTGACTGGATCTAGATATTATCTAGATTCTGCTAATCTAGTCAGCAATGTACCAAGTTCCAAGCTGCAACAGATTCAGATCAGATTCTGCCCCGCAGTGCCAGCTTAGCCCAGCAGCTTCTTGTTGGATGCAAGAAGAGTTAACGCCTAATGCCTAACTAAGGTACTAGGCAACCTCAGGGAAAAAAGAGTTGTCTTAGGCTAGCCCTTTCCTGGTCCCAAAAACTCGAGAGTGCGATCCGTAGCCAATCGAATTATTCGTTACAAAATGGTGTGCTATTTGTCCTGAACAAAGAGGTTAGAGATAGAATTAGAGGTCTTAGCTGTGACGTCACGAGTGTCAAACTTGAGGGGCGCCCGCCATTCCAGAGAGGAATAAAAGGCCAATCGGTGCGCAGCAACACTTTTTAATCAATGATTAAAGATACTCTGCGAAGGCTCTTTATGTTGATTTCTTTTTCATGTCATGTGCCTATCACTTAAATGTACTCTTAGCGATTTTTGTGATTGTTTACCTTTAAATGAGCCAGATAACATATCAAATAATGCAATATAGAGCCTTTTACACAATGTGACCATACGGGTGAGTAAAAGTCAGGGGGGAAATGAATGAGATGGACTTGTTGATCACTTGTTAAAACAAAAAAAAATAGTTTTATTGAAATTGATGGAGAAGCTGCAAAAAGCTTCAGCCTGCAACTCCAGCACACCTTCAAGGCTGGCTGAACGGAAATGTACTACTGTCAATGTTGCTGAGATGAGTGAACATGAAGTATCCAACCATGAGATGTAACTACCCACCAATAAGACCAGCGTAATATTCTGTCTCATTTGAGGAACCGATGCCAAAGAGCAAGTGCAACAGCAGCAGCAGAGGTTCATGGAAGATGGGGTGTTGTGTAGCCAAACACCCTGCCAATCGACAACACCAATTTTAGAAAATAATATTATGAAAGGCTAAGTTAAACTGGCTAGTGTTGCATTTTGAAATGTTGTCAGATATAATTATTTGTGCCCGATATTGATTAAACAACGCTCTTTCGGTATGTGCACAGGATCCATACTATGAGTGATTTATGATATCCCAGCCTACATAAATTGCTCATTTTGAGAAAATAACGGAATAATATTTTAAATAATTAACTCTGTCTTTAACCCTCTTCATACTCTATGAAGACATAGGCTTTGCATCAGTATATATAGAAGGCATTCCCAAAGGGGGGGGGGGATT